CGTGGTATTGTTTTGCGCAAAAAAGCCCCGATCACGAAAATGGTGATTGGGGCTTTCTTGCGCAAAAAAGCGTCTAGATTGGCACGGACGCTTTTCTGCAAAAAGTGCTTTTGCGGAAAAGCGTCCGTGCCAATCTAGACGCTCTTTTCCGCAAATGCTTTTAACGGAAAACTTTTCTGTTAAAAGCATTTGCGGAAAATCATGCCAGTCTAGACGTAGCCAAGAAGTCATGCTTCTGCTCTACTCTGTGCTGATCAGACCTCAATTGGAGTATTGTGTCCAGTTCTGGGCACCACCATTCAAGAAAGATGTGGAGAAATGTGGGTGGGCTCTGAGAAGAACAACAAAAATGATTAAAGGTCTAGAAGACATGAGCTGTGAAGGAAGACTGAAAGAACTAGGTTTGCTTAGTTTGGAAAAGAGAAGACTGAGAGGGGACATGAGAGCAGTTTTCAAGTTCCTAAAAGGGAGTTACAAGGAAGAGGGAGAAAAATTATTCTCCTTAACCTTTGAAGATAGGACAAGGAGCAATGGACTTATAGCCGGTCCCCGAGCTGTGAACAGTCGACTTACAATCGTTCGTAGTTATGACCAAAGCTGTTGTAAATGGTGGACTCCGAGTTACAAACGCGATCCGCACTTACGACCAGCGCAGTCGTGTGTAACTCTGTGGGGTCCAACTGACGAACGAACTGAGTTACGGCCAATTGCTTGGTCCGTAACCGGTTCGTAAGTCAGGAAGAAGCTGTAAATTGCAGGAAGGGAGGTTTAGGTTGGACATTAGGAAAAACCTCCTACCTGTCAGGGCGGTGAAACACTGGAATAAGTTGCCTAGAGGGGTTGTGGAATCTCCATCACCACACGATATTTAGACAAACACCTGTCAGGGATGATCTTGATGGGATTTGGTCCTGCCGTGAGAGCAGGGGACTGGATTCGACAACCTCCCAAGGTCTCTTCCAGTTCTAGTGTTCTATGATTCTAAGAAGGAAATCAAAACAGCCTATGGACTGAGGTCCAATCCCAAAACGCAGATCAAATATACAGGATGGCGGGTGGAGGGGGTTATTCTGTGCCGCACAGCGCAGCACTCTCAACCCGGGGAGGTGTGGAAGCTATGGAGCAGGGGACTGGATTCGACAACCTCCCAAGGTCTCTTCCAGTTCTAGTGTTCTATGATTCTAAGAAGGAAATCAAAACAGCCTATGGACTGAGGTCCAATCCCAAAACGCAGATCAAATATACAGGATGGCGGGTGGAGGGGGTTATTCTGTGCCGCACAGCGCAGCACTCTCAACCCGGGGAGGTGTGGAAGCTATGGTCGTTTGAAGTTAATTGTATACCCTGCTGCACCTGGGTGGCTCTGAGCAC